CACAGCCCTCATTCTCTGCTTCTCTCCAGATCACTGCATCCCCTGGCAGTAGTAGCAGCAGCAGCAGTAATAGCAGCAGCAGCTCTCTTACAGCTGTGTCTGCCATGAGCAGCACCTCAACAGTGGACCCCCCCTTGCCCAGGTGAGGAAAGGGTTCAGAGTTGGGGGATGGCAGGGGCTGGTGCCAGATAATGTCAAGTTCTAGCTGCTGACACCTCAGCCTTCCCACCACCAGGCCACCTGAGGAGCTGACCTTGAGCCCCAAGCTGCAACTGGATGGCAGTCTGACAATGAGCAGCAGTAGCAGCCTGCAAGCAAGCCCACGAAGCCTCCTGCCCGGCCTGCTCTCAGGCCCAGCCGACAAATTGACTCCTAAGGTGCCGGGGCAGGTGCGTGTGTGGGTGTATGTAAAGTGCTACGTTGCAGGTAGATGGTAACAGGGAAGGTGGGTGGCAGTCTCCTCCCACATACCCTTGTTACTGGCCCTGCTCTACCCCACATTGCTCCATGTTTCCCCTGAGGTCTTCTCAGCCAGCTGTGTTCCCTAGAGATCATTTCTTTAGCCTTCTCCTCCCCACCTCCTCTCCTGGGCTATGGTCCTGTTTTTGATCTACCTCTCCCTTCCCTGCTGTCCTCTCTCTCATCACTCCCAATTCCAGTGCTTTGCCTCTGTACCTCATCACTTAAGCCCCCATCTTTGTCCCACCTCAGGTGCCTACTGCTGCCTCCGCACTATCTCTAGAGCTGCAGGAAGTGGAGCCCCTGGGACTACCCCAGGCCTCCCCCAGCCGCACCCGCTCCCCTGATGTTATCTCTTCAGCTTCCACTGCCCTGTCCCAGGACATCCCTGAGATTGCATCTGAGGCCCTGTCTCGTGGCTTTGGCTCTTCTGCACCAGAAGTCCTTGAGCCAGACAGTATGGCTTCAGCTGCCTCAGCACTACACCTGCTATCCCCACGGCCCCGACCAGGGCCCGAACTTGGTTCCCAGCTTGGCCTAGATGGAGGCCCTGGGGATGGAGATCGGCACAGTGCCCCCTCTCTCCTGGAGGCAGCCTTGACCCAGGAGGCTGTGACCCCTGACAGTCAGGTTTGGCCTACAGCACCTGACATTACTCGTGAGACGTGTAGCACCCTGGCAGAGAGGTGAGGAGCTTGGGAGGGGAAAATTGTGCTGGTAGGAGGGGCTTCAGATAGAATCATTCCCTGCTGAGTTGGCCTGTCCCCCCAGTCCCAGGAATGGCCTCCAAGAAAAGCACAAGAGCCTGGCTTTCCACCGACCACCTTATCACCTACTGCAGCAACACGACAGTCAGGATGCCAGTGCTGAGCAAAGGTAGGTGCCACCCTATACCATTCCCTCATGGGGGGAGAAGGACAGCAAGTAGGCAGGTGCTTATCCCCTCCTGCCCTTTCCCACAGTGACCACGATGATGAGGTGGCCAGCCTTGCCTCTGCTTCAGTAGGCTTTGGCACCAAAGTTCCTACTCCACGGCTACCTACCAAGGACTGGAAGACCAAGGGATCCCCTCGGACCTCGCCCAAGCTCAAGAGGAAAAGCAAGAAGGATGACGGGTAGGGGAGTGTCTTGGGGAGGGGGAAGGGTGGTCTCCAGGCTGCCTGACATGGCCTGAGGCTCTTCTCGCCTATGGCAGGGATTCAGCTGTGGGATCCCGACTCACAGAGCACCAGGTAAGTGAGCAAGCCCCCTTTGTACTCATGGGACTCCATCCTGCGAGAGTTGGGGGGGGGGTCTCTGGGCCATTCCCTGGTCTGGTGTGGCCCAGAGAGTAGGAGTAGGCATCATGTGACTGTCAGTGCTACTGGCAGGTGGCAGAGCTCCCTGAGGACTGGCCAGCATTAATTTGGCATCAGCAGAGAGAGCTGGCAGAGCTTCGGCACAGCCAAGAAGAGCTGCTGCAGCGTCTGTGTACCCAACTTGAGGGCCTGCAGAACACCGTTATGGGCCATGTAGAACGTGCCCTCGAGACCCGGCATGAGCAGGAACGTATCCTTGACGATGGTAGCGCACATAGGATAGAAGTAGGGGCAGCATTCTTGGCTCAGGAAGGGGTATAGAACCTGCTCCAGGCCTTTTCCTTAGGTACAGCACAGAGCGGCGGCTGGAGCGAGCACTGGCTGAGGGGCAGCAGCGGGGTGGGCAGCTGCAGGAGCAGCTGACACAGCAACTGTCCCAAGCACTATCTTCAGCTGTAGCTGGGCGGCTAGAGCGCAGCATACGGGATGAGATCAAGAAGACGGTCCCTCCATGTGAGTTTTGCACAGAGATTTCCTTTAGGTGGTTCACATGGGAGTGGAAGTACCTGTCATGCCTCTCCTCTTGGCTCTCCCTTGTCCCAGGTGTCTCCAGGAGTCTGGAACCTGTGGCAGGCCAACTGAGCAACTCAGTGGCCACCAAGCTTACAGCTGTGGAGGGCAGCATGAAAGAGAACATATCTAAGCTGCTCAAGTCCAAGGTACGATAGGGCCAAAGATGCAGTGAGGGAAGATGGTTGACAGGCCTAGTAAGGTCAGGTTGGGCTTGGGCTTTCAACTTGGGTCCTTCCTCTAACCCCAGAACTTGACTGATGCCATCGCCCGAGCAGCTGCAGACACATTACAGGGGCCAATGCAGGCTGCCTACCGTGAAGCCTTCCAGAGTGTGGTGCTGCCAGCCTTTGAGAAAAGCTGCCAGGCCATGTTCCAGCAGATCAATGATAGTTTCCGCCTCGGCACACAGGAATGTGAGTATGGCCTACGGTGGGAGGGGCTATCCTCTCCTGCATCCCTCTTATGGTCCCCCTGGTCCCCCCTCAGACTTGCAGCAGCTAGAAAACCACATGAAGAGCCGGAAGGCACGGGAACAGGAGGCAAGGGAGCCTGTGCTGGCTCAGCTTCGGGGCCTGGTCGGCACACTGCAGAGTGCCACTGAGCAGATGGCAGCCACTGTATCCAGCAGTGTTCGGGCTGAGGTGCAGCACCAGCTGCATGTGGCTGTGGGCAGGTGTGTGGGAAGGGTATTGGGCAAGATGTGGGTTTGGGCCAGTCTCGCATCCCTGTGCACTTCATTTGCCTCACTTCCCTCTGCAGCCTGCAAGAGTCAATTTTAGCACAGGTACAGCGCATTGTTAAGGGTGAGGTGAGTGTGGCGCTCAAGGAGCAGCAGGCTGCTGTTACCTCCAGCATCATGCAGGCCATGCGCTCAGCTGCTGGCACACCTGTCCCCTCTGCCCACCTCGACTGCCAGGCCCAGCAAGCCCATATCCTGCAGCTGCTCCAGCAGGGCCACCTCAATCAGGCCTTCCAGCAGGTATGACAGGTATTAGGCCCTAGTAAGGGCCAAGTGTTTCCTGACAAGGCCATATATTAAATATTTCACTCCATCCACCAGGCTCTGAGCCTTCTGGGTGCAGCAGACTTTTGATTCCTTTTCGCCTCCAGGCCATTGCCCCTGCTGCTCCCTCTTCCTGGACCCCTTTCTTCCCACTTCAGCCAACCTTGCTTACAACTACCCTTCTCAAAAAGTATTTCCTGATCCCCTATAGTAACAGTACAGCCTTACAGTACTCTCTCTGGGCACCTTTGGGCCCTCACTACCCTACCCTGTGGTTATCCTCCCCCAAACCACACAGCACAGACAGGCATTCTATCCTGATAGCTGTGAACACTGCTACTCTGTTCACTCCCAGGCACTGACAGCCGCTGACCTGAACCTGGTGCTTTATGTGTGTGAAACTGTGGACCCAGCCCAAGTTTTTGGGCAGCCACCCTGCCCCCTCTCCCAGCCTGTGCTCCTTTCCCTCATCCAGCAGCTGGCGTCTGACCTTGGCACCCGAACTGACCTCAAGCTCAGGTGAATGGGGGCAATGAGTGATCAGGAGATGAGATACAGGGTGGGGGATGGGGTGGGAGCAGTTCAAAGCAGACGCCCACTCCTGCCTGACTCCCTGCCCCAATTTTCTTCACCAGTCTTTGCCCTCACCGGAAGCCTCCCTTGTCACCAGTCCCTCTGGGCATCAGTGCCACCAGGGGGCGCTCCCATCTGTGGCACCCACCCGTAGCCTATACTTTTCCCCCATCCCCAGCTACCTGGAAGAGGCCGTAATGCACTTGGACCACAGTGACCCCATCACTCGGGACCACATGGGCTCCGTTATGGCCCAGGTGCGCCAGAAGCTCTTTCAGTTCCTGCAGGCTGAGCCACACAACTCACTTGGCAAAGCGGCCCGGCGTCTCAACCTCATGCTGCATGGCCTCGTGACCCCCAGCCTCCCTTAGCCACTAAGCCTGCCTTGTCCAGAGGTGAGGTGGTACTGAAGGCCAACAGATGGACCTAGGCCAAGGCAGGGTCCTGTCTGCTCTTTACTTGCTCAGACCCCCACCTCTGGGGTGTTAGGGGGTGGGGTGCTGGGAGCACTGGCCGTGGTCTACAGGTTGTGGTAGCCAGAAGGCTTAGGCTGAACCCAGGGTAGGTATTGTGCCTTCTTAGGTTCTGCCATGCCTGGAGCATGACCGTGAGATCATGACACCACTTGAGTTGAATTTTCCATGTTCCTTTTTACCTCCGATTTGGATCTTTTTGTTTTTGAAAAACATTGAGAAATTCAATTAAATGCTTTTGGAATAAAATAGAATATGTGTGTGTGTTTGGTTTGTCTTTGGTGTGATTCTCATAAGTGCCCTCTGTTCTCTGTGTGGAGCTCTGTCTGGGCCAACCCATCCCAAGGGCCTGGGCCCTACTCTCATCTGCTCAACTGCCTTCCCAGATCTTTTACCTCCTCTGGGGCGAGTATCCTGCTTCAGCACCAACCTGTGCCCCTGGCGCTTCTCTCTTCGGCCCTTTCTCCCTCCGTTTTCAATCTGGATGCTGGGGGCGGAGCCACCGGCTGGCTTCAGAGCCCCACCCCCGGTTCCCATCCAATCACTGTGCCTCCCTCTGGGGGCTGGGCCGACAGGCTGCACTCTAAGCTGCTAGCTCCCGCACTAGGCTCCCAGCCAGGGATGATGCGCCCCTGCTGCCGCTGCCGCCACTGTCGGCAGCTGCCCCGTGCCCTGAGGCTGTTGCTGTTGCTTCCACTTGGTAAGTATGGGAGTCCTGGACCCGGACCTGGACTGTACCCATTATCACTAGGTATAGGGTGTGTGTGGTAGCGTGGGACATAGCCTTCCTGGGACTGGGTGCCCGGGTGAAGGTGTGTTGCAAGGATTCTAGGAAGGTGTGCTGGTGACTTCTAGAGGGAAAGTGACAGGCACTAACTGAGCCCCAGTTGTGGGGGAAGGACTCCAAAATTCCACAGCCCCTCTTCTGATAAAAGGAGCCATGGCCGATGGCAGGACTTCTAGACCGACGAGTCGTAGGATGGCCGAAGTCCTCCTCTGCGAGGGTCTCACTAGATCCTAATCCCATTATATCCAAAAAATACCTATCTTTGGGGACAAGGTGGTAGGGCCAAGTGAGGCTTGTCAGGCTGCAGAGATGACCTGCTTTGGCCCAGACCTCCCGACCCCACCCCCTCCACCCTGTCCTGACTCCTGATTTACTTGGTCCATCCTTGACCTGGGGCCCCAGAAACTCAGAAGAGCTGACTCCTGGGATATGATGCCTCCTAATCCCTGCACATAACCCAGCCTGGGTCCTGCCTTGAAGGGAGTTTAGGTAATCCCCTGACATGCCCCTCAGTTCCCTGGGGGCACCCTTTTCACGCTGAGTCACATCCCCAGAGTGATTCTTGGCAAACAAAACCCCGGGACCAAGAGAGGGGGGCAAGCCCGGCTCATCCTACCAACCATCCCCCCACCCCATCCCCTAGTCTTTGTACCTCCCCTGGCAGCAGGAACGGCGGGCCCAAACCGCTGTGACACCATATACCAGGGCTTCGCTGAGTGTCTTATCCGCTTGGGAGACAGCATGGGCCGCGGAGGCGAGCTGGAGACCATCTGCAGGTACCGATGGGTGTGAGGCAGCTGCCCAATCCCTGCCACCCTCACCCTAAGCCTCTTTCCCAATCTGAGGTCTCCTCATCCCACCTAATTCCCCTAATTCCACTACCTTAACAGGTCTTGGAATGATTTTCACGCCTGCGCCTCGAGGGTTCTGTCGGGCTGCCCAGAGGAGGCAGCCACTGTGTGGGAATCACTACAGCAAGAAGCTCGCCGGGCTCCGCACCGGGATAACTTGCACACGCTGTGCGGCGCCCCGGTGCACGTCCGGGAGCGTGGCATGGGCCCGGAGACCAACCAGGAGACGCTACGGGCAACAGCACCTGCACCTGCCCCAGCCCCCACACCCCCGCTGCTGGCGGCTGCTCTGGCTCTGGCCTGCCTCCTGGGGCCTCTGGCCTAGCCAGCAGAGTCGGGTGGCAGCGCCTGCGTCTCCAGCCCTGCTTGGGCAGACGTTGTCTGGCTCTGCAGGGCACGCACAGCTTTCATTAAAGGTATTTATATTTGTATTAAGCTCCTTCCTTTTTCCTGGCTGCGGCCCCGTGGTGGCTGGGGTGGAGGGACTCTCAGAAGCTGATTCTCAGTATGGGATGGGCTGGACTGAGGGCTGCCACAGGGGACTCAATCTTCCGTCTTACAAACACTCGTTTCCTGGTGGCGGCACTGAGCTTTCCATTGCATGCAGGTCCCAAGAGCTCCTTCGATGAACACCTGAGATCTACCGGAATGCACAGCTTTTCTCTGCCTTCTGGGCTGGCTGGGGGTTGGGAAAAGGATGGGTCAGGAGGGCAACAAATCAGCCCTGCATTCCTAACACTTCCTACCCCTCCCCAAGGGGCCAGTTGAGGTGGTGGAGTACCCTTGATCCTGGGTCCCACCCCAGCCAGCCCACCCTGCTTCTCAGAATCGTTCCAGCCTCCAGGCTCCTGACCATCTCATCTCCTTCTCCCTCTGCTAAACTGTTATCTCAGCCTTCAACACACAGCTCATACTATGTGGTGGGTCCCTTCCTCTGGGCTCCTAGTCCATCTGAGGAGTGCCTGTTCCAGAAAGTGGGGAGTCCCTGTTGGAGTCTGCATTCAAGTCCCTGATGTGACCTGAAGTGGCAGAAACTGGGGTGACAATAAGGGATCCTCTGACCTCTGCTCTCCACAAGTTTGTCCTTTGAGAAGAGGTAGCCAATGTGAAGTCAAAACAATCCCAGAAGGCTTTCTGGAAGCAGTGGAGTGAGAGTGTGTGAGGAGCCCCTATACATCCGGGTGGAAAGGAAGGGCAAGAATCAGCATGGGCAGAATCTGAAGAAGGGGGCAGCCTCAAAGAGGGTGAGACTCTCTTTTGATCAGTCCTCTACCACTTCCAGGAACCTATTCCAAGCCATCACCCCATGACTTTTATGGCACTGCCATAGTCTCCTCATTGACTTCTATTATCACTCCCTCCACTTTATTTTCTACTTTCTAAATTGAAAAACTGATCCCTGTGTTAAGCTCCTTTTCCTTGTCTACAAAGCCCTGCATAAGCCAGCTCTGTCCCCTGCTGCAGCTCCCCTCTGTAGCAGCATAGAGGAGCTGTCCACCTAACCAGTGCTTAGGGTTAGGGGAGGCTTCAGAGAAGCGGCACTCACATGGGAGGTGATAAGAGGTAAAGCTGTGAGACTTACAAGTGGTAGAGCAGGGGTGGGCCTGAGTTGGAGAGGGCTTTACAAGAGGGGCCCAAAGCAATCAACTGGGAGGGAGGGAGTAGTAGGAGCCCAGAGCCTGGCAGGCCAGGCTTACAATGAAGCCTGTGCTGGGAGGCTGCCACCCCTCCAGGACAGGATCAGACCTGATGAGATTCATGCTTCCAGGGTGACAGATGCCTTCAGAGACTTCTACCCATGACCTCATCTATGCTTCCTCAATACTCTCCCATTCTGGCTAGCTCAGGTGCCTCAATCAACTCTCTCTCTCTCTCTCTCTCTCTCTCTCTCTGTCCTTTACTCACTCCCTGACTTTGCTCATGTGCTTCATTCACCTAAATTATTTTACCCCCACTTCTTTCTCCCAACCAATCATTATCCATCTTCTCACATCACCTGAAAGAGATGTTCAGGAAAAAACGTTCAAATCTGTTCTCCTTTTTTTTTTTTTTTTGAGTTGGAGTCTCACTCTTATCACCCAGGCTGGAGTGCAGTAGCATGCTCATGGCCACTGCAGCCTCTACCTGCTGGGCTTAGGTGGTCCTTCCACCTCAGCCTTCCAAGTAGCTGGAACTACAGATGCACACCACCACACCCGGCTAGTTTTTGAGATTTATTGTAGAGACAAGATCTCATCAAGTTACCAGGCTGGTCTCGAATCCCCGGGTTCAGGCAATTCCCTTGCCTCGACCTCCCAAAGAGCTGGGATTACAGGCTGAGCCACCGTGCCTGGTCTCTTCTCCTTTGCCAGAATTTTCCAGAAGGAAAGACCAGCCTTTGTTCTTCTGGGTCTTGTACATCTATTATCTTTGTTCAGAATACTTTTCTCCATTTCCTCTGGGTGAACTCCTATTTCTTATTCAGTATTACCTCCTCTGCGAAGTATTCCCTAACCCCAACTATAAGCTGAATAGGTCTACACAGCTCCTGGACTTTCTTCTGCCTCAGTACTGATGGCACTTACTTGTTATTGTCTAGGTCCAGGTCAGAATACCCCACTATGGAGTCAGTTCCTTAAGGGCAAGGAGTCCTCTTTGTTGGAGTACTCTCTATGTCTCTAACACCCAGCCTAGGACTGGGAAATAAGGGTGTACTTTGTGGGAATGTGTGAAATAAAAGATAGAATCTCTGTGTCCAGTATAGGAAGTATTGTAATCAGTAAGAGCTTGGACTGAGAATGACCCCTGTGTAGAAGATGTGTGATCTTGGGGTTGCCCTTTCAGCCTGGCCTTACGCTGGGAGGGATGATGCTGGGATGCCGGGATTGTAGACGCCCAAAACTTTCACGAGCCAGTCTTGGTGGGTGGCCAGGAGCAACTTGCTTTCAGGAGCAGAGGCCTGGCTGTTCTGCCGAGCCATCAGGGGGATTACCATCCTCCTGCTGTGACCTACTTTTCCCCTGGTTTTTGCTCCCTAAGTCCCTACTCTTCCATGGAGTGGGAGCAGGGAGGGGATATATGAGGGAGGAGGAAAGAATCTGCTCTCTGGCCAGGGGCTTAAGGGCTTTGCATGTTTTATCCTAAAGCTGGAGGAGAGGGGTGGGCTGATAGCCAAGCTGACTGGGCCCTGGGCACAGCTGCCTGGGCTAGAGAATCATGGTGATAGTGTTCCTCACATATGCAGGTCTGTGGACAAGGAGTAGCTTATTGTTCAGGGGAGAGCCTTGCAGATGGATGTCCTGGACCCAGTTCCCTCTGTATTCACATATCTCTTCACCTCAGGGCCTCATGCATGCTCTTCCTTCAAAGCCCAGATCAGCACCCATACATGGTACGGGTTCAATAAATATTTGTAAATTAATTTGCTGAATGTCTGTAAAATGGGAGTGCTATGTGGATTTCTGAGTGTCATCAAGCCTGAATTATATTACTTTTAAACTCACCAACAACTTTGTGAGGTCAGGATTATGATCCTCATTATATAGATAAGAAAAATGATGCTTGACCAGGTGCGGTGACACAAGCCTGTAATCCCAGCACTTTTGGGAGGCTGAGGTGAGAGGATTGCCTAGGCTTGGGAGTTCGAGACCAGCCTGAGCAACTTGGTGAGACCTCATCTCTACAATAAATAAATAAATAGCCAGGCGTGGTAGCACATGCCTGTAGTTCCAGCTACTTGGAAGGCTGAGGCAGAAGGATTGCCTGAGCTCAGCAGGTCAAGGCTGTGGTGGCTATAAGAGTGCTACTGCACTCCAGCCTGGGTGACAGAGTGAGACTTCAACTCAAAAAGGGAAAAAAAAAAAAAAGGGTACAGTGGAGCAAGCCTATAATCCTTATTACTCAGGAAGCTGAGGTGGGATGATCACTGAGGCCAGGGGTTTGAGGCTACAGTGTGCTATGATGGTACCTGTGAATAGATACTGTACTGCTGTCAGGACAGCATAATGAGGCTCCGTCTCATAAAATAAATAAATGAAGGATGAAGTTATGTAGGAAAGATGTATTGCCTAAGTTCACATGGTTGTGGAAGTGCTAGAGCTAGGATTTGATCCCAGGTTGTTCTTGGCCCCAAAATTGATACCCTTAAATCATCACATTAGATTTTGGAAATGATTTTTAAAGTTTTTATTTTTTAACTCAAAGCTTGTATGAAACCCTAATACATAAAACAAACAAAGTAATGTCTTATTGGTGTTATTTTCAGGTTTAAAGTATAATATTAGCTTATACAGTCAATCAAAGATAGTTTCATAGCCGGGCTCGGTGGCTCAGCCTGTAATCCCATGCCTTGGGAGGCTGAGG